ATTCAAAAGCTATACGAAAAGTACTATAAATTAAATTTTTTTTACAAATCAATATAATAAAAGAATATATTATAAAATATTAATTAAAATTTTTAAAAAAATCATAACATTTAAGTGGACAGAGATGGTATAATATAGGAGTATAATTAGCCTAATAATTAAAGATAGGATATATACTATGTGATATATGATTATAGAAGATGAGCACAACCTTGTATAGTCCTATTAATAGCATGTTTGATTTGACTTTTTAAAAAATTGCTTCAACCAATTAATTATTATGTAACAATTATTCAAGTGAAATTTCTTAGCACAATATGTATAATCAACATGAATATGATAAAGAACGTATACAATAAGAAAAATATGTAGCTCGATAAACATGATAGCTAAGTCATTGTCGTATGTTGAATTACACTATATATGTGTTAAATCCATTTTTTCGAGCTCGATTTAGGGATAAATTTGAATGAGAAGAAGAGGGAAATTTAAAGGAGATATTTTTTTTTTAGGAAAATGAGGAAGAAATAAGGAGGGAACTGAGCCGGACGTCAGTAATAAGCCGGTCGGACACCATCCAGACCAAGCCAGGTTGTAAACAATATGAATGGTTTTCATTACAATATGCATACTTTGATCCTCTTTTAGGGTTACAAAATTCCAACCGTACATATATTGATAAATGGAATAAAATACCATATCGATGATAGGCCTACGATAATTCTGGGCTCCGTATAAGATTTAGATAATCCTTTTTGTTAAAGAATAATAAAAGTTCTACATCGGTGGATTCCTTATAGGCAATCTTCCTCCCTTTGAGCTAGCTTTTGGGGTGTAAGTTAGGCCTAAGATCTAATTTCAATATGATATCAGAGCAGGGTCCGTCTCACCCAATGTTTAGGCCCCCAAAATAAAATTGATGTTAAGCACTGAGCATGAGGTGGAGGGTGTTAAAAATGACAAAAGTCTCACATCGATAGTTAATAAGATGGATGGAATCCTTATAAATTTTGGGCAATCCTTCGCCCTTTGAACAAACTTTTGGAATGTGAATTAGGCCTAAAACCTAATTTCAACACTTCTATCTTTGAGATTATTTTGAAGTATGTGAGTTAAACTCAAAACACAATAACAACGTATGATCTGATGTAAGCTTCCACTACAAAGGGGGGAAATACATTTGATTTATGAATATGCTCGAATTAGATCAAAAAATCAAATCCAGAATGTTTTGAATTCTAATATATGAGAGTGATTTAATAACAAATAAGAAATCTGAACTCGTTATAAGGTTTGAACTCGTACAAATAATACAATAGCTGACAGCTACCAATAGTTTTTTGGATTTTGTTGGCACGAGAGAATCTTCGTGCTGCCTTCACCCTATGCTTTGTAAGTCTCTTCGGTGTTGCATTAATTAGGAACGTTAGTTTCATGTTTAAGTTGTTATGATAAAATACACAATACATTTGATGTCTTGATGTACTGGCAAAAAAAATGTAATAATAGGATCAAACTAGTATTATAATATAAAAAAAATAATGTATAGCTAGCTATCTACGCGTAATCTTATTTTTTAATTAAATTTATAATATAAGTACTATGTTCGACTATGAATCTGATTGAGATCATTCTCGATCCATCACCGTATACATGATATTGACATTACCAACATCTTCCATCAAATATGTGAACATTCTTTCACGTAAAATATAATTATTCGTGAGTTAATTATCAAAAATATACGGAAATTATATTTTTTTATTTAAGTTTCATATTTAAAGTTTGAATTTCATACATAAACTATTACTTTTTAGTTTGAGAAATACGTCTCTCTTTTGTACTACTCTAATCATGTATGTGTAATATACGCTTTCTCTTTTATTTAAAAAATTTTCACATCACACTCCATGTGGATAAAATATTCAATTTTGACAAAAAATAAATAAATTATTAGTATTAGCTAAAATTAAAAATTAAAAAATCATTATAAAAAATCAATATTTTCTTTATAAAATAAAATGTAAAATATTTTTCTTACCCCACACCATTTTTTAAAGTTTTTTATTTTGATTAAATTTCTTTTATAAATGTATTTCATTGTTTACTTCATTTCCTCTCACGTCAAATACTAATTTAGATATTATTTTATTTTTAAAAAAATATAATTCAACCCCTCCCACTTAATTCTCTGCTTTCAATCCCCCCCAGTGTTTAGATATACATATCAAAAATATTTTTTATTTGTCGTCATAAGACTTTTTATATTTTTTAGTTGTTTATGTTATATTCGGTACACTAGTAGAATTTTTTTTCTAAAAATATATGTACGTGCATAATCTAACACAAAATAAGAAAAACGTAAAAAATAAAAATTAGGAGCGAAAAATTAAATAGAATGGGATAGACTTTTTAAAATAAACTAATATCAATTTCTATCGCGGGGGGGGGGGGGGGGAGGATGAAATATGAAATTTTTACAAATATTATATAAATGATTTTCTTTTAAAAAAGGATAGCATTCGCGGGGTACATGGAGAAGGTGGTGGAGTGAGATAAGAAAAATAATTTAATTTTTTATATGAATAATAATCTTTAAATGTTTAATTAATATTAATTTTTTATTATTTAATTTTTATCTAGATAAAATATTTTATCTGTGTAAAATGCGATGTCTCAAAGTTTTTTCCTATAAAAGAGAGAGTACACTACACCAGTGAGGCGTGTTTCTCAAACTAAAAAGTGATAGTTTAGATATGAAACTCACACTTTCAATAGTTTAGGTGTGTTTTTGACACTTATCTCATTATAAAATCATCTGACCTTATTTTTTTTTAATTAGTGCAAGATAAAAGAAGAGCTAATTGCTAATGAAACACCAAAATTTAGTAATGGCTAAGTTATTGTTTTGGGCAAATTGAGTAGAGTATTTCTTTTCTTGAGATTTATACGTGAGAAGGTGGTATGTAATTAAGTATAATTAATTAGAGTCAAATATAATTATGAATGATGAGTTGACTCATTAGACTGTAACCGAAAGATCAACATCATAATCATGAAATTCACAAGAGTAATAAAGTTGTTTAGTAAGTAGACAGCCATTAATTATGTAGTTAAATCCAGTGATACATATCAAGATTAAGATTTAATTAACGCATGCTTGTCTACTTAATTATTATTTCTAAATATAAAAAATCCTCATTCGTGCAATTTAAAGGTAATAAAGGATACAAGAAAAAGAGAAAAAGCATGCTACAGTTTGTAGATCATATAGCAATCTCAAATTAAAAAACCTCTGCAGAAAAATATTTAATTTTAATTTTTTTTTGCACCACCTCAGTAGAAGCTCCAACTCTTTTTTCTTCCTCGATAACTCGAACTCGCAACTTTAAGATTAAAAGTGAGGAATGCTTACATTCAAATAATTTTAAAGAATTTAATTTTAAAATCAAGAAAAAAGAGAAAGAATATCCATAAAATATTTTCCACCTTTTTCTCCTTTTATTAATTTTGAAAGATTAAAGGGAAAGAATATTCTTAGCAGATATATATAAATGTTTAAAGCTGATCACTGATGGATTAAATGAAATGTTCTCATTTATCAAGGGAAAAAAAATAGAAACCTTTCCTTCTGATATTGCAATTTTTTTACTTTTTCTACTAACCACTTCTAAATTTCAAGAGTTAAATTTTTACATTCTGATCGTGAGTTTTGAACATGAAATTCATAACTTTTTTTATTTTTTTAATATAAATTATTACGAATTACAATAATTGATGATTCAAAAAATTTGAAAGACATAAAAAAAACTTTGATAAAAGAGTTTAATATGCTTAAATCAAAATTTAAAAGGTATTATATAAATTAAGACAGAGAACGGAAAAGAATAATATATACCTAGAATGATTAATAAGTATTTTAGTCTTCTCATCAAATTAAAGTTTTATTTGACCAACTGATCAACCGTTTAAATTAATCATTATATTATTTAAAATATATTTCTGTACAGATTACACATGAATAAAAAGAAATGATCACTATCATTATTCCTCTTCCCTCATGTTTTCTCTAATAGTCCAATTTTTCCTTTTTCTTCTCTACCCACATGATGGCTGAAAAAAGTTAATTTGGTAATTATAACCACTCATGGGACAAAAATATATTGTGGGTTGGTGGGTGAAAAAGTATTGGACACTGTAAGATTTAATTTGGATTTGGAGAGTTAGAAAAATCTCTAGATATTTAACGTAAATTATATCACGTAAAATTTATTAAAAGAAATAACTTTTTTGTTAAGGTATGCTTTTGTTCTTAAAATTTTAATTTAAAATTTTTATTCAGAATGAAAAAATTTTATTTATCGCATTACAAAGGGATAACATCTTTCCCTTTATTCATTTATACTTGGCTAATTACTTTAATTAAGAAAGAATCAACATTAGGCAACTTTACATTGTAAAATTATAAATAACGGTCGGTTCTTAAACTAACTGAATAATATAAAAGATATTTTAGTAAAATCATTGCATCCACAAAATTATGCAGGTTTTATTTTTATCTTCTTTTTTTTTTTAGCTAAAGTTGATGTTATTGGGAGAATATAGAGTATAGTCAATAGTTCACCTGGAGTTAAAAATAAAATTAAAAAACTACCATCCAGTCTATAGCTAACAAAGAATAATACGTAATGAATATTAGTACACTAATTATTAGTTCTAGACTAAGGAAAATCAAAGTAATTTTCAAACTTATCAATCAAATTCTTTTCAAACATCATTCGTGGAACCATACTCGATATGTTACTATCATATTAATATAATTCTCTAGACGAGACAAAAACTTGAAAATGGTAAAAATAGAGATATAGTTTCATCTCCGACTTCCACTTTTTCTTAAAAAAAATCTGATTTAGAAAGTCATCTTTATTTACAACATCCATCAATAATCTATCAAAAAATTCTCTTAGTTAAGAACAATTCAGCTACAAATAACGACAAAATTCATGACTAACTGCCCTTTTTTTTGTTTGGAGTGAATTATACAGTAATATAACTTTGATGCAATCTTAATTACGTGAATAATCAAGGCTCTTAGTACTCAATCATAAAAAGGATTTTGAGTGTTTGACTTCACGCCAAAAAAGAATAAAAAACATTTAAGCGAGTCATATAGATTTTATATGTATGCATAATGCATGCATGTTTCCATTTACACACAATGGCCAGCAAGTAGACCTACAAGAAATTAAAACAAAGGTGCACATCAACTTAACCGAATTCAGAATTTTAAATTAATAAACAGAAAATATCTACTATGAGATATACGAACATGTTAAATATGGATTCAAACGAACTTATTAACATTTACATATATTATATATACTTGTGTATATATATAAAAAAAATTAATATTGAACTTAGTAATTAGGACGAGCTATGCGTTCAATTCAAAATCATAAACTTTAAATTATATCGCTATCTATAGAAATATCGGCTAGTATTTATTTGTATTTACATATATGGATGCACTCGAATAGTCACATTCACCAACTCTTATTTTTTTGTATGGTCGTTAATTTACGAAAAATTCGTTATCGATCGTATTGGAAATTGTAAGGTATAGTCTCCCTTGCTCGTACTTCTACCTCTTTTTGAAGATTATTTTTTGTTATTAATAAAAATATTGCTTAACACAATGTCTAGTGGTATGAGTTCACTTTATATTCTATTTATATTTATCATAGTCAATGTACAAGGGAAGCTACATGTTTGGAAGGGATTTAAATAAGCCCCCAATGTCGAAAAATTATACTTAACTTGTAGAAATTTATAAGCTTGCAAGTTTGAACTTTATGTGTATTTCTTGCTCCGCAATGAGTTCATCTATCTCCTAGACTATTCACGAACATGGATATTTTGATAAAATATGCATTTCTTTCAGCTTTCGCACACCTTGACTAGTATCACGAGATATCTGTCACCTCCCACCAATAACAGATACCAGATACCAGGTGTCTCTGTGTACAAAGGTTATGACAGACAGAAAAAGATAGGGATGAAAATGCTATCTTATTATTTTTAAATGGAAGTGCAAAATCCACTATGAACAAGTAAATGTCAATAGATTGATTGGAGTAAAGAGCACAAATGACATAAATTGTTGTAACAATGTGTGACACTATGTGACCCCATGACACAATGCTATCAGGTGAAGGCGTCCCTGTTTGCCTCAACCAACAGTAGATAGTGGAGAAAAAGAAGTGAAGCTATAATAATCAAATTAATGAATCATAAAAAAAGGTGTGGCTTATAATCTGACTGTAACGTTACCCATATTTGACTTAAATATCCCATGTCCCATTTCTTGCGTGAACGACTTCTCATATTGTTGTTCCCTATACTACGACCACATACATATTCCACAATTATATATATGGTAAACTAGTCAAAAGTGTCACTTTTAATTTTTTTGACAATTATTATGAATATTGGTTTGTTTGTATGTACGTATGTATAGTAACTTTTATTCGAATGTATCGAAAAGGAATAACATGCCAAATTGTGGGAATGTTCATGAAGGGTGGATTCAATGTTCTAGTGATCTAGTCATATATACATCGAACCCATCAAAAGCATCGGAGCATGGGAACGAATTTATAATGTTATGTCAACTTCTTTCAATCTTTTTTTTCATAGTTACAAAGCCCTCCCGAAATTGTGTTCTCGAGAACCTTTTAAATATATTCAGAAAAGATGTTTACGTGAATTATAAAATAATTTTAATACTATATCGCCCTAACATTCCCTTACCTTAATCAAAGAAAAAAAAACAACTAAATTAAGTGAGAAGAGAAGTAACTAGATCAAGAAAGTTGGGTCAAATCCTCATCACTTACTAGGTTTGATGTTGCCTTTATTTCTTTTGATATTATCTCTACCTACTTTCACGAATCCAATGATAAATTAAGATTTTCGAAACATTCACATGATTTACTTGTTCTTTATTTTGGGGAAGTGTTTGAATATAATTCCCAATCCTAAAACTTTTTGTCCCTTTTTTCCAATTTCTATCCCCATAAATGCTAGTGGATTTATTTGCACTCACACTACTTTACTGCTCTCTTTAAGCTTCTTTAGATAGAAAATAGACAATCACTAGCAGTAAAGTCTACTGAATAGCTGCAAAAGGCAGCCGAAATTTCGCATATATAATAGTATATTGAATGGAAAAGTTATCTTCGTGTAACTTACAAGTCATGAATTCGAGCCCTGGAAGCATCTACATCATACCCATAGAGGTACGGCCCTTCTCCGGATCATGAATATAAAATGCTTTGTCCAACAGATTGTCCTTTTTATATCTTAAACAAACACAAACAAACAAACTTGATAAGTTCAGACAATTCAAAAAGCAAAGCAATGTAATTATCCAGATAACTACCATCATCAATTGTTGAACTAATCCATCGCTCTCATTAAGATAAACATTTTTGGTTAATCATGGCATAACCAGTTGCCAAAATTGACCAACAAGCACTACATTACATAAAACTGTCCTCCTCACGCTTAAAAACTGCAAATTTGATTTTTATAAAATCTTACACGTAATTTTATAGACTATTTTGACAGAAGTGTCACATTACAGAGGAAGAAAGTGGAAACAATATGTCGCTGTAAACAAACAAGATACTCCTTTTTCTTGTAATCAACAAGCAACGTGATTTTTCTCAACAGTCATCCTAGTCTAAAGAACCTACAGGATTAAAAAAAAGCTTTTATCATGTCTCTAAACACTAATCAACTGCTTGTATTTCAAAGTATCTTCACAGAGCACGATATATTAAAGAAACTCCAATCACAGTAAAAACAACTCCAACTAAGGATTAATTGTTATTGGCATTCAGTGCACATTAGTTGTAAACATACAACACATCAAGTATAGTAGAGGGTAGAGTGTCTGCAGACCTTAGCGCTACTTCATAGGTAGAGAGTTTGTTTCTGATAGACCCTCAGCTCAAGAAATCAGGTGTAAACATGCCATACCAAAAAACATGGTGTGCTGCAGACACAGAAGAATATATGGGACTCCAATAGCATTGGTCTTCAAAGTGAAGGAGTAGAAATGGAAATAGTACAGACTTAATTAAAGTGTAGGGTCATTGTTATGTTCATCAAAACAATCTTGAAAATGCCCTCTCATGTGGTTAGCCACTTCTGACTATCCACATTCATGGAAGTGACAAGGTCTCCATTAACAGTCAAATAGATGCATGATATTAGGTGAAGGGTCCCAATACTAGGACACCATTACATGCAAAAGTCTAATAAAGTTGATCTCTAGTCGCAATTACAAAAATGAGAAGTTGGACCAATCAAAAGATGCAGTAACGATCTTCCAAATGTGACAAAGAAGATCCCTCGTTGGCCATTTTCATGATACCTACTCTGACTAACATGTGTCTCAGAAGTTGAATCAGTGGGACAAATTGGTTGGCAATTCGTTATTATCAGCAAGGGTGCATTAAACATAATTCTGCTATGATTTTGACATTCTCATAGGCATCTCAGATACAGATATTATTCTATCAACAAATACATTCAGTTTATAACTAACCTCGTCCGGATATATTTGTCTGGATATGGAAAGCCATGTAATAGAAAGAAAAGAGATGAAAGACAAATTAATTTTATTTCTTGACATTCTGTATTCAACCAGACAAACAAATATAAGCAGCTTTAAAAATACAATATACATCAAATTAAGGTCCGGAAAATTTTTCTACTACTCAATGGAACACCACTGAACTACTAAATATTCAAAAACACATTGAATTTGTTACTACTAGTCCAACTTCAAAGAAACAATAGCATCAGAAACTGTCTGACAAAGCTTGCAGAGTATTACTCTGAGAGTATCAATCCTACAAGCATCATTCATAATACAACTTCATAAGAAAGTGACTTTTTCCTTCAAAACTGTTGGACAAAACTAACCATATAGACCTAATAAACAATGCTTAAACTATTTCGGTTCTTTTTCTTTTTTTTCTTTTAGGCAAAAGGGACCCAAGCTCCTAAGATGACCTAAATGCCGCACTATCATGGGAATCTGCATGGTGCTCATATTCAAGAAAAGGACTACCACTACACAATAATTTTTAGAGCACCAAGTGTCATTTCAATTTTCCACTGGAATGCTGATCAAATAATTCAAATCCATGTCTGGGCTATAAATAGAAGTACAGAAAGAATGTCCCAGATTGCGCCTTTATGGGACAATAAGGGGAGTCTTAACACCACTCATAACATCTTTGAAATGTAAAAGTTACATAGAAGGCCATCAATGGTGGGTGAAACCTCTATAGAAAAGCTGAATGCGAAAAACCCGAAGGATCCCAACTTACACAAATACTTGTCTCCCTAAGCAGTATCGTCACTCCCTTGGTACACAATAAAAACCTAGACCTGAAGTTTTAAGTTTCTATGCCTAACAATTCTATTGGCAATATTTTATCCCACATTCCGGTCACTTCAACTCCCTTAGTTTATGCTTCAACATGAATTCAGGTTTTCTATTCACTTAAGAGTTTAGAAGTATACATACTGGAATTTTTCACAGAACTATTCAACTATATAGTTTAACAATCTTACTATGATCTAATGCATGATCCTGGAAGATACATAAAGGTCAAATGCGTGGTCTTGAATCAGTTCATGTCTGTGTAAGGTTTCACAATAATTTGCAATGGCAAACAATTCTAAGAGATGATGAAAATGCAGACATTGCAAAACAGAAAGGCCACTTTCAAGGTAACCTGGACAATAATTATCTATATACCATGAGTAACCAGAAGATACCATATCATTTGAAGCATTTTGAACATTCAAGTTGGGTCGTGGTTGGATTATGGTGAAGGAGTAAAGAAGCTACCGCCAACAACAAGCAGCTTTCCACTTATACACACCCCAATTTTAATCATTTAAGGTCTAAACCACCAATTTAGAAAATAAAGGAAAAATATAAATGGCCACATAAGAGTCTAAACCACCATTTCAGTCTCTAAATTATAATAAAATGGAAGTCCCAGAACTATAGCTATCAATTCAAATCCACCACAAACACAAGAGATTGATAGAAGGAAGAATAATTATAGATTTAGCGCAATTCTACATATATTAGATACTTTGTGACATGTATAAGAGAAGCCAATGAAGCTGTGCTATATGAAAAATTGAAGTCCACAAACTTGAAGTCATCTGTTAATATCTCCAAGGAATCAAGGTTTACTTGTAGTTGCTTATATGATTGTCAAGTGTAGGTAGCTTTCTACCTAATATTGATCTGTGTTCATCACTTGACCAAAAAAATACCGCATATTTCCCCTCAAAAAAAGTGTATAATAGTCGGCCATTTATTCCAATTTCCCAGTCAGTGGTAGACAAACTGAGAAGCATGACTGTTATACCCCTGCGGTAGCTGTTCTGCTAATATCTAAGCAGAAAGGACAGAATAAAATTCAATGTAGAATCAAACGAGATCGAAGACACTAGATATTGAGCTGCAATCATTTTCTTTGCTATGTAGCACAAATACAGGTACATCTGTCCACTATAACGTGGACATCACTAACTGGAAAAAGTACTTGTCAGATGCTCCTGATCCCCTCAACCTGTTGTTGAACCCCATAGGAAAAAATCTACATTTGGCACCTTAACTATAAGGTCTAACATTTCTTTTTGCACCCACAAAGACTGAAAAATCCATAGAACAAGCACAATACCCTAGGCAGGGATTCCAAAGGAAGCACCCTCCGTCAAGTAAAAACCTCTAACGCAAATGTTGAGAACGCATCATTCTTGTTCTAAGCAATAGCCACCCACCCCCTCCTTAGGTAACGAAAACTACAGATTCATAATGTGGGACTCCAAGCCATTATAAACTACTCCAAAAATGTCTCATCTACTCTCGCCCATGGAAAGATATCCTCTCAACAGCCTGACCTGTTCAAGGATGGTGGAAGGCACATAAATGAAATGAACAAGAAATTAGATATTTGGTCCAAATACTTCATGAGGTGAGAATTGTCTAAGATCATATAAGGAGACTATAATCCATTCCTTCAACTAATGTGAAACAATTTACACCCCTTTCATGTCCAAAATGGGTCATCTAGAGGCTAGAGCATGAACAACAAATAACATAGGGCTCAACATTGGAAACACAACAATAATGATGGTTTTGGCACTGGTGACATATACCATGTAATAGAAAAGGGTCTTAACCCTAACTCAACTGCAAAAGCTAGCTTATGAGTAGAGGATTCCCACTCCTAATTACATAATTACAGGGATTCTGAACCTTTTCATATTTGCGAGGAATAGATTCTAGTCATATTCACTATCTCCTAATATTTACATTGTTTAATAGAATTATTTGTATAATTCCAAATAAAGAAAAGATCATGCTAAACATTAATTATTATCAATGCTCTTTTACTTAGACAACTGATCGTTCCTTCTTTCCACATAAATGAACTAATTATTACACTTAAGACTTTGCAATCTGTTTAACCCACTACTCATATATTCAACAATAAAAACTATTATTTCCAAACTAGTTAGGGCTGGCTATGGCTTATGGAAATCATTAACGTCCTTCCGCTCCAGTTCAACTCATTTTATTCAAATACTCGATCATTTGTCTAAAAAGACGAAGTAATTTTTTTAATACTAGAATCCTCGATGTCTTTTACTAACATACAATTCTCTAAACAACTTAAGAACTTCTGGAAGACATCAAATTTAATGTAAGTGCATCGATATGACAAACCTTTAATTCAAATTTATTGGAAACTCCTATCTGAAATTTTTTGTTTCATTTTGTTCTATGCTTTGCTAAGTCTACATGAATTCCTAGAGATTGTAGATTTGTTTGGACAACTTAGCTCTATCTGATTTTTGGTCTAACTCATCCTTTTTAACAACTTCAATCATCATAGTAAGTAACACCTTGAGACAAATACATTTGGAGGTCCATGAGCAGATAAAAGACATCTCAAGGACCTTATCTTGTTTTATCCTCCGTGTATGGACCTGGACCTTTTGTCTGATATAATTATTTTTTAATCTTGTCTAATTTTGTACGACTGCAAATCCAGCTTTTAATGAACATTCCTACAACACCCATTTGAATGGAAATGATGGGTCATACAGACCCAAAACACTTCTAAAATTTTATTTCTATTCTCACTACCGTGTTACAGAACTCGTCTTTCCATTAGAAAGACATACTCCTTACCAAACACCACTCCTCCAGTACTTGTCCATTTTAGGTATCTAGATCATGAAGCATACATGTTTGAATTATCCACTGTAACAAGTTCAAAACAAATAAATACATGTAGACATCACTAGAGAAAATGTGTCAAAAGAACCAGTGAAATCAAAGGGAGGAGAGGGAGCATAAATAGTGAGTACAAGTTTATTGCAACAATTGGGATTCCAGAAAATTGAACAAATTATTAGTTATTAAAGTATAAACAATAAGCTTCCAATTACTTTTTTTGTTGTTGAGAAGACGCTGGATCAGAACCTAATGACGACTCCAAGGAGTACAGAAGAGCACCAATTTAGACTACCAAAATATGTCTAAGCATTTTCATGATCCAATTGTGCAACTACAACCGTCCTTGGTGCCAAAGATATCCCATCTATAAAACAAATTATACCCTATCATTTTTTCCTATAGGGGAAGACCAGAAAGCTAGTGCAAAAGAGTATTCTGTTTATGCACTACACTTCAGAAGATATTTCTGAATTCTTATCCCATCATACAATCAATTAGCTATATATACGAACCACTCAAATGGCTACAACTCAAACATATAGGTCACATGCGTAAGGAATTGATATATTGTCACACTACCATCATGGGAAATTGGCCCAATACAAATATTCATAGCTACCAGAGATTGATATCAACATAATATGATTATGATTGCTATAAACTACTAATTCTATCAGACAATAATACACCTTAGGAGAAAAGCAAAGACTGAGCCCCATTTCTTTCCTTTCGAATAAACGTTAACTGTGCACACCCTGAAAAGTTTTAAGTAATACCAGTACAAGCATAGACAGCATTTTCAATAAATTGCATGGCTGATATTGTGGATCAAAGCTTCATAATTGCATGAAGTTGGATTTCCCCCGGAACTAGGTAGATCTTATAGGATGCAAGCTTATCACAGTAGAAGACATCAAGTGCAAGACGCAGCAATAGTTACTTCTTCCACACTCCTGAAAAAAATCATTAGGATGTTGCTGAACTCTTCCAGTTTCTCCTTCACTTGGTTAGGAGGGGAAGTTGTGATTTCTATAGAAGATTTCTATATTCCAGTTTCAGTATCTCTCTAAAAGATGCAGAAGAAGAAAAGGAAGAAAAAGCAAACTGAACAGCTAGACAGAGATGGAGAACTTTTGATTGCATTAACAGCCTACATCAAATTGGGGAAATCTATTAGGAAATACAGCTAGAAAGCAAAAAAATAAAAGGCAAAGTAAAATATAGAAGATAGATTAAGTTAGCACATTCCAGTAAGCCTCTCATCCACATAACTCTATGCAGTCTCATGATTGACAACAACATTATATCAACACACCTATCGATAAATATTTGAAAATGAGAGTTCTGACTAAACCTATCACTCTATGTTGCACATCTAATATACATCAAAACAGAGACACAATTGATTCAGCACCTGTATTCTTCGCAGATTTCTTATACTCTGGCTTCAGCTAAAATGTTCTCTTGGTTCCCTCCTCTTTTGTTACACATGCAGAGTTTATTCACCATCTCTTTCAAAAACTGTTGCAAAACAAGCAACATAATCAGGTTACACCATCTGGGATGGGATGGTTGGAAATGCACTGCATAGCTGAAGAAGGACATGCAACATCTTCCAAATCATTTATGTATTCTCTCCTCTACTTTTTTTTGGTTTGGTACCCTGAAAATAGTCAAAGTACACATTTTGGAGAGGGTAGGACTAGTTAATAGATATAAGCAAATATTAAGGGTTCAACCTACAGAACCATATACCATATGACTAATGTTACCTAATACATACACTAATATTGTTCATGCGACGAGAACTAGCTCGCTTTTTGTTATAACCTAAAATGTATGTGTAAAATGCTTCATATTGACTTCTAATTCATTTATTTACATCTTCCCTCATGCTAACCCGGTGCAAACACGCTTTTGAAACCTTAGGATTCTTTAGAGTATCAATCATTATAAATGGGAACCCGATGCATTAAGCTCCCACTATTTTAAGAAATTGTGATTTTCAAATAAAAGTTTATAATTTCTAAAGTTAAAGAGAATTCAGTAGTATGCTAGTAACATTATTGGAACTGTATCTTTCTTCAGTACAGTTGAACCTGGATTCTGGACTAATATTGCTAATAGATAGTAAAACATTGTATCATTAAATCTATTGTCCACATCGCTACTTGGTCATTTTAGGAGTAGTTCACAAAGGACTAACAAATCTCACTTTTCTCTCTTTCTGGCACCAAAAAAAATGAAAAAACTATCTGACGATGGGATAGACGTCGCGATTTCATGACATAAGGCAGGTTGATCAGTCTCCTAGCACTAACTGATCCAAACCCAATTTGTTGTGTTTCAAAAGAGCTTAAACATGACACCTCAAGTTCACCATGGGTTCCTCACAGTTCTTTTAACTTCTGGCCCTCTAATAGAAGCTGCTTTCTTCTTGTCCTGCACAGAGACCATGGATATACAGAAGCTGCCAGTTATCCAAATAGTTTTCCTCCAAAGATTAGAGAAGATCATGGAGAACAGTTCCTACTGTTTTAACTTTCATGGTGAACAGTTCCCACTGGTTTAACTTTCATGGAGAACAGTTCCCACTGTTTTCAACTATAAAGAACATGTTTAAAGCAGCAAAAAAGGAGTGCATTTGTTTTAAGAAGAATAAAAAGGAATTCTATTATCAGGTGGGTGAACTCTCAAAAGGCATCATGTGCCAATACATATTGACAAGTTGGTCAATCACAGCAAGACAAAGTGCGCACTAATGTGTTAACCATGTTTCCAGGAGGCCAAAAGCATAATTTTCAGGCCACACCCATCATATGGTATTGCATATTGTGAAGGGAATCATGGGAAGGTTTCTATGCTTGCAAGCTGGTATAACACATGGTCAAAAACTTGGAAAATGACATCATGTGGAATCACCAGAAAGAGGCCTAGGTTACACCTCGTAGACGTAAGTACTTAAGCTTTCAAGCAATGCCAACAAAACAAAAGTGCGAGCTGATTACAGAACTGAAAAGATAGCATTTCATACTAGTTAGTAAAGCTATGATAGTTCAAAATCATACAACTAAACATGCTAAGAACTTTTGAAAGGATGGGTATAGAGGATCACCAAACAAAAGTACAAACCTACCAAACTAAACTATTCTATGCAAATCTATGCTTTATGATGCAATGTAATTAGCATTGCCTAAACACGAGGCAGCCTAACATATAGGGCTTCAAAAGAACCATAAACTTAGTAAACCTCTAATGTGTTGTCTTTTAATAAATAAAAGATTACAGAATTGGTCTTAAAGTTGGAAAGTAAACCTCTTCATTCACTTTTTAATTGGTTTTGTGGCTGTGAGAAAAATTCTTTGGCATTCTTTGCCACATCTGCCTCCAGTATTGCTTCTAAGACAATGTCAGACCCTTTTGCTCCATCTTTACGGTTTGGCAACAATCCTGCGCTTTCAGCAGAGACAGGAAGTACAACAATACTGCCAGATTCATCAGTCAGTTCACTCAGACCTTCTTTCTCTATAGATACAGATTTCAAAGGAGCCATCTCTGCCAATCTTACATAAGCAGCTGCTTGGCTGTGCATATCAGATAAAGCTGAGTTCCTTGAATTATGCTCTGTAGGTGTGATAGTATCTGTTTTGCTCTCTTTACCAGATTTTTGAAGTTTATTTTCAACTATTGTAATCTCTTCATCAAATTTTTTAGGTCCATTTTCAACGATTGTGCTGTCTTCAATAGATATTTGAGGTCCATTTGCAGTCGTATTATCCCCAGCTGTAGTGTTGATGTTGTCCACTAGCCTTGATGTCAGTGGACCAGGATTCATGAAAGAGATTGTTCGAATTTCATGGCGTATAGCTTCTAGTTGAGCCATGGTATCTTGCAGTTCCTTATGCACCTGGCGAGCTTGGGACTGCTGCATGACACTTTCTAACTGGCCACGGGCCAATTGAACATAACCAATGGAACGCCCAGCAAATCTGCCTAGTGTTCTTGCGATGATTGGTAGATCTTTAGGTCCAATAAGAGCAGCAGTAGCACCAAGCAACAGAAATACTTCTCCGTATGAAAATCCCAGCATCTCTTATTTTTTTCACTTTGATTCTCACTTATGCTTATAGACCACCCCTAAGAAGATTGTTATCAATGACTCTTTTCGACAATTTGCTCAGGGAAGTCGTCTATGAGACTTGCTGGTGGGACGTTAGCCATGCCAGATACATGATATTGACTCTTCTGCCATAGTTATGTAGAATTCCTACCTAGTTATGACAGAGAAGGTTACACACACAACAAAAAAAAACAGTACTTATCACAGAGGCAAAACGAAAAAACGGACTAGTGAATCATTTTACAAAATACATCGAATCACATACAATGACTCAAGTTTAACAACACAAACAAGAAGCACAACTAGGTTTGTTCCCAAATCAATTACTTAAGACCAGCTAGAACTCCTCTTGTGGGTGGAAAGAATTTTACTGTCAGAAAAGATATACAAGTTAAGTGACCAACGACAAACAAAACTAGAAAAAAGTGTTGGGAGAAATTCTACAAAGTGAGCAATTGTCATGCAAAACACTCAACTCTGTGATTACCACTTAATTTCTATGGTTGATCACTGCACAATTATCCCTCTTGAATCCTTACAAGGATGCTGCATCATAGAATTCAATACTCAACTATACCAATATCAATACCAAAACCAGCCGCTAGAAAATTGATGATTGAAATTCCAGTGGCATATAATAGTCCAGAATGAAGGAATAGCCTTAATAATAAGCAGAAAGATATCATTTTGAAACCAAACTACAGAGATCACTCATTCTATTCATTGGTTCACGTACATAAATTTATCAAAACGTGCAATAGTAATAACTACAACTTGTCCACATTGAGGACAAAGTCTTTGTACATACTCAGGCAGTAGCTCTTAGGCATACTCCTAAGTCCTAATCTCGTTTCATCCATCTCCATCAAAAATTTTATAGCACAAAACTGTCATTGATAGCAAAGACTATAGGCAAGTCAGATAAAAACACATAAATAAACGTTAATATGTTTAGTTTTGCTTCTATTGCACACAGAAGGAATATGCTCAGATAAAAGGTCAAAGGTAATTACTTGAAAACACGAAGAGTCCTCGGAGAAGAGCGGATCAACAGAAACAATGATTTTAGCTACTGATTTGAAAGAACAATATTCATTTACGCTATTTGTATTATCGTTACTATTTCTACCATTGCCATGACCGTGATCTTCTTCTTCAGCAAGCGCTTCCGCTTCGACGGGGCAATGAGCTATCTCTTCAGGTGCAGCTCCAAAAGTGTGAAAACAGAAACCCGACCTATTAGAGCCGGATCCGGGTCGAATTTGATGCCGTGGAGTCCACGCGCGAGCTGAGATATATCAACTGACGTGGTGTTAATCTTCTGATGTGATCCACAGAGGCCCAAACTGTGCTTTAAGATCTTACTTGGGCTCAGATCAGGCCCATTATTAGCCCATTAGCTGGAACCAGTATTGGGCCAGGCTCCTAAATATTGACAACACAATATCACTCAAAATGCAAAAAAAAAAAGGGAAAAAATGACAAAAATCACACCTTTAAGTTCTCTTATTACCATTATCCCCTATTAGTTTTATAAATTCTCAAAATTTCTCATTTTCGCGCATCAAAATAATGTATATCGCGCATCAGATTAATGTATCTCGCGCATCAAATTAGTGTATCATGTATAAAATATATATCATATTAATATATCATATATAAAATGTAATTTATCTTACTTTGAATATATGATGTTTGTCCTTTGACTGAAGAAAAAGTTTACTATTTTAAGGTTGAAATATACACAATATATGTATTTTGCATAAAGTTTGGTAACTAGTTAATCAAAGTGTTTAGTATCGTAATTTTTATCCCTATACATCCTCTATCTTGAGGAAGTATTATGTCAATCAATCTCCTGGCCGTACATAAATAAAAAGAGTGTAAAATTCGAACAAAATAACTATATAACTTGCTCATGACATAACCTCTTAATTTTTGGTGCAATATAAATATAGCTTCGAAGATTATAAAAGATAATGGTTTACAGAGAGGGAAAAAAACGTATGGTCCTAAAAAAAGATTTTTTGGGGAAGTTTGTTTGATCTATAAATATTTTGATAACTTTTATACTAGCAACTCTATAATGAAATTTCATATTTTTTTACCAGATAAATATATATATATATACTTATAAATATTGAAAGGTTGATGTTATTTAATTTACTTCTATACAATTTAATCTATTTTAATCCGTTCAAATTTAATCTAATAAATAAATTTACATCATGTTATATCAATTTCATTTCCTTATATAAACGAAAAATTATAGCATGAAAGAGTCGCCTCCAATAAATGGGGAAAAATAATATACATGTCTTTTAAGTAACAATTACCTTTTCTTGCACATAATAGCTTTATGTTGTCTTCTTTTGATTTCATTTTGTTGGATTGGTTGCTGGCTAGTGGATTACACACAAGTGGCTGATGAGTAATTAGTAATGAAATGGACATTGATATTTTAGTTGTTATATCTAATGTTAACATTTCTCTAATCTCAAATTATTTATCATATTTTTTTATTTTATAAAATAAGTTTAAATAGAAGGTTTTAAGCTCGATAATTCAGAAAACTGAAAAGAAGTCTATGTAATCTTGTTGACTTGGAATACAAGCTTTTAATTATTTTATAGATTCAAAATAAATTACTTCTTTTATTTTATCTTTGCTTTTAAAAACTTTCCCCTCGATAAAACGAAATATTTAATGAAACAAATTATAAATAAAATGCTTATTGAAAAGAAATGTATCTTAAAATATAAATTATGGTACGTCATGGCTGATGTCTCCTCTCATCCCCCCCCCCCCCAATTTTCTTGTGTGTTACAGAGTGTTTTTTGTCATATTGGACTTTAACACTGACTTTAACTGATCAGCCCTCTAATCAGTTTAGATTTTTAATTCTTTTGAAAAAGATCTGCATAAAAATTAAATATTAATTTGATTATCACGTCTAATTTGGCAGGAGATTCTTTTAGTAGTCAAAGTCACTCATTTATAATGATATAAATATAAATAATATGTGGTTGATAATTATTGTATTCTATGAAAAATATCTGTTTAAAAAACGGGAGAAAAATTTTGTCCTATTTTTGGATGATTGTTATCGTGAATTTGTGATTTTTTTTTTGTTTTGAAAGAATTTTATTATAAACTTGTTAACTAAATTCCTATTAAATTCTTATTATTTAATGTAGGAAAATTATCTCCTGAATTTTTCACTTGTCATGAAACAATTTGATTATGTATTTTATTTTGTTTATTCATCCACTGGACGTCAAATTCTAGACCTAATTTAAATTGATAAATATTTAAAGTTGATATGTTTAATTCCTGTGCTTCAAAATTCAAATGCTAGTTTGCTTTGATTCAAACGCTAGTTTGCTTTCTCGTCTGCTCTCGTTCATGTACCAATCGATCAGATTTGGGAGTATAGATAATTTTCTAACTTCACTCTATTTTTTTTTTTTATCAAATTTAGGATTATTTTTTTTCGCATTTTAAGAGAGAGTGATTCAATTGATTCGATTCTTATTTTCAACATAAGTATAAAATATTCAATTGATTCGATTCTTATTCTCAACATAAATATAAAATATTCAATCAATTCGATTCTTATTCTCAACATAAATATAGAATTGTATCTCAAACTTCTTACTACCTTTAAATAATTGACATATCAAAAGTTTGATCTGAGCCACTAAAAATTAAAAAGAATTATTAAAATGATTTTAAATGCTTTAACTCTGAGAAGACAATTAGAATTAGTACAATATAAAACAAAAAAATTTGAGAAAACAATTAGAATTAGTACAACATAAAAATTTGGGTTAATCTTTGCACCATTGAGGATTATTGGAGAACTAGATTGGATCCTTTCTCAATTGGATTTCTATTTCGTCAGATTCTTTTGAATTTTTAAGATAATCCTTTCTCAATTGGATTTCTATTTCGTCGGATTTTCTTAAACTTTTAAGATATTTTTTACATGCTTTTGAGCTTATTTTCTTATATTTTTAACCCATTAGTCAATTTTCTTTTCTTTTTTTGTAATATATTTTTTCTTTCTTTTTTGTAATCTACAATTTGTATCTTTTTGTTGAGCATGATTATATATTAGGAAAAAGCTCTTATAATATTATATCCATCTTATATGTATACCTTTCTATTAAACTTACAACTATGAATATAGTTGTCCAAAAGGCTTAACATTTGTGTTTATATATATCAATATTAATAGTGTCGGATCAAGTTTGTTAGTCACTTAAAGTCAAAAATAAATTTTTAATTAATTAATTTTTTATTTTTGAGATGCAAAGTTATTTCTCTCTTATTTTTCTTTTTTTTTTGTTTATAGTTTTAAACTAAAGATATATTTATATATCAAATACTTTTTTAATCTTATAATGTTAAACATATCACGTAGAAGTTAAGTTTACAGATTAACAAAACAAAAAAAAAACATTTTTTAATTCTTCGAAATGAACTAAAAAAAGATACAAACAATTTGTTTTAATTAAAAAAGAGTTTTAATAATTATATTGTTGTTAAAAATGGATCCTCTCAAATTTGGGGAGCTATGATGGATGCATCATTCTTAAAGATATTGAGTTGGGCTGGTTATTGGTTTCACAAGAATTTGTTTATGATTTAATTTCACATATTGACGTTATTCAATTAATCTCCATCTCAATACGTGCTTCATGCAACATATTGCTCATGAAAATTAAATTTATGATTACTTTAATTTTAATATTACTTGTTAATTAGACTAAACACTTACCATTTATGATAAAAAGTTTTAGAGCACTAATAACAAAAAAGAAAAAAATATTTTTTAATTAAATTCATCAAATAAATATTATATTTGATCTGATTATGAATTGAATCATCAATCTTGTAATAGGCGTGATATTTTGATAATATCTAAATTGATATATTAAAAAAAGGAAATAAATGGTGATATCAATTGGATCCAATTAGTTAAAGATCCTATTTTGCATTTGTTTGACCCGCAAAATTCGATTTTTATATTGACAATTTCTCCTACCTACACTAGAAGGAAAAGATTAGGAGTTTTTATTTTTATTTACACATTCATTTAAGTTTCAAGATAAGGCAAAAAACACTTATAACAAATTCAAATGTGGGTCCCAGAAGTGGACCCCATGAAAAGGATATAAATGGATATTTCAAAGACACCCTTTAACTTATTAGTGATCAACGGAAGCAACCTCTCTTTTGTTGTTATATGCAAAATTGTCCTCACATCGGCACATCCACTTGTAGAAAAAAAATAAAATAGTAAAAAAAGTAAAAATTCACATAAATATTTACTTCCTTTAAATTAGACGTTTCAAATTTTGAGTTAAAATTATCTTTGTTAAACTTCGTTTAACTGGTTGATACATATTGTGAATTTCACAATTTATTCTATAGTGTAGTTTTAATGATTATCATACTTGAATGATAAGTAAAGATAATATGAAAAGAAAGTCTAGAATAGTAATGTTCAATTAAATAAGATGTGACTTTTAATGATAAAATTAAACAAAATATATATAAAGATTAAATAACTACTAAAACAAACAAAATACTAAAACTAACCATAAAACACATCACCACAGATAACACCCAATCCAGTACATATTTTTTTAGTATAAATTTAAATTTAATCGAATTTCAAAATAAATACAAGGCGGAAAAGAAGATAAGAGGTACCACGACCAGTGAGCACACGTATCATGAGGTGAAAGTTACACGTGTCACAATCACAATGGCTAATGCCCATACCTACCATGTTCTCGGAGCCAATATAAACTCGAGTACCTGAAGATGAATGAGAAAAATATCTCCTTTTTTTCTTCTCTACTCTTCTAATGGATCGTCTTTTTCTCTTATCTTTTCTCGCTTTCGCTCTTTTCTCGTCGGCGATTGCTTTCTCCGACGACGATCCGTTGATCCGACAAGTTGTATCGGGAAACGATGACAACCATATGTTAAACGCCGAGCATCACTTTTCACTTTTTAAGGCTAAGTTTGGAAAGATCTATGCTTCTCAGGAGGAACATGACCATAGATTGAAGGTATTCAAGGCTAATCTTCACCGTGCGAAGCGTCACCAGCTCCTTGACCCTTCCGCTGAGCACGGTATTACGCAGTTCTCCGATTTGACTCCGTCGGAGTTTCGCCGGACTTACCTTGGACTTAACAAGCCCCGACCTAATCTTAATGCCGAGAAAGCTCCAATCCTCCCGACTAAAGATCTTCCATCTGATTTTGACTGGCGTGAAAAAGGAGCCGTCACCGATGTTAAAAATCAGGTATTTTTTATATAGATATGTTTGTTTATGTGATTAATTGATTGTTCTCCGGTGATTTTGTTTCTATTTTGTATTTATCATGGATGGTTTTTACTATTATAGGGCTCATGTGGATCATGCTGGTCATTCAGTACGACTGGAGCAGTGGAGGGAGCTCACTTTTTGGCGACCGGAGAGCTTGTGAGCCTTAGTGAACAGCAGCTTGTGGATTGTGACCATGAGGTTAGTATTGTTCCTGCCGTTGACTTTTCAAAATTTGATCAGTTCAATCTAATTTTGTCTTTATATTTATCTTTATGTGCGATCAGTGATGTTATGCTGGTGTTGCTTTACATATTAGTCATTTTGCTTTAATCATATGCTTAGCTCTGTGTAAGTTATTTAAATTTCTTATCGAATTATCTAATCTGTTTGAAAGGGTATACGGATTAGCTATCCGTTGAATTACAGTCCTATCTGTTAGAAAGGGCTTATAAACTGGGAAAGGATTGAACTTTACAGTTTTTTGTTTAGGTATTTTTACTATTGGGGATGTGGAGTGTTAAGGCAAAAGTATATAGGATTGTTCTATTTTCTTTGTTCTCATATCTGCCAGTAAATTAAAATGGTTACTTATGTTCTTTAATCAGACTCGATCTCGAATTAGTTGGTTTAGTTTTTCAAATATATCATATACAATGGGACCTGGGTAAAACGTTGTGCCAAACTCTGTATCATTGAGTTTTCTTGCCAAAGCTAGTTATATCTATATTGAAGAGTAATCTATTTGGGAAATGCTTAAAGATTAGAACTTTTAGCGTGTCTGTACTACTGGGGTTACGACCAGTGGTAAATGCAAAAGGAAAAAGGATTGTTCTATGATCTTTATTTGAAATGAATCATAAGGCGGTTCAAGAATTTAAAATGGTTATTATTTCTTTGATGCAACATAGTGAACCTCAATTGAGGCTAGCTGTGTGTATCTGATTATTGTCTTTTTTCTTCTTCTAAATACATATGTTAAGTAATAAAAAATTCCCTTTTGCAGTGTGACCCGGTGGAAAAAAATGATTGTGATGCAGGTTGCAACGGTGGTCTTATGACTACTGCCTTCGAGTATACCCTTAAGGCTGGAGGTCTCCAACTGGAGAAAGACTATCCTTACACTGGCAGGAATGGCAAATGCCACTTTGACAAGAGCAGAATTGCTGCCTCTGTATCCAACTTCAGTGTTGTTGGTCTTGATGAAGACCAAATTGCTGCTAACCTGCTGAAACATGGTCCTCTTGCAGGTAATGTAGCTATCATAACTTAAGGCTTAAGTTGTATTTTTTCGCTAGTGTGAATGAGAGAACCATAAAATTTATTGATGTTCTTTTTGGGTGTAAATTGCAGTGGGGATCAATGCTGCTTGGATGCAGACATATGTTAGAGGAGTTTCATGCCCATTAATTTGCTTCAAGCGTCAGGATCATGGTGTCCTCCTAGTCGGTTATGGATCTGAAGGTTTTGCACCTATACGTCTCAAGAATAAGCCTTACTGGATCATCAAGAATTCTTGGGGAAAGACTTGGGGAGAACACGGATATTACAAGATCTGCAGGGGTCACAATATCTGCGGAGTTGATGCCATGGTCTCTACTGTGACTGCCACACATACTACTAATCCTAATCTTTAAGATGAAATATATCCCAAGAATGTTGTCTGTAATCAGCGATTTTACTGCCATTACCCTAATCTTTGTAAATATATTGGTCAGTAATGTATTGTGAACTCATGTCTTGGATTTCATCAGCACCTTATTATCGTGCCTCAAACCATGTACTGGGATTTGTATCTGTAGTTTTATACTGCAAATAATTGGAGTTTGAATTTTTAAGTTATTTGCAATATTTTGAATGCTCGAAATGTCTCTTACCCCCTTTATGAGCTTAAATCTTCTCTCCTATAGAACAATAGTACACTTCTTCAGAGTTCTGGCTTAGTAAACATGCTGCAATGTGAACTTGTTAACATGATCATCTAGAGTTAAGCTGTTTTCTGTTTCATGAATGTTCCTAATGGGTTGTTTTCAAATGAACTTTTGCCTACTGGGGCTATAAATTCTTTTAAAACTGATAACTCGCAATATATTATGATGAAAAAAAATATTAATGAACACCCTCAAAAAAAGCTACAAGTATTAAGCTTTATAATTTAAAGACCAACACAAAATAAAGGCAACGACTGACCTGATTCCATCACTTCCACATTGAAATATGAAGTAAATTGGGCCCAAGAGAATTTATATTTATGTGATTGTGTTGCTGCGGGTTTATGGCAGAGTACTGCATCTCTACAAAAGAAAATTATTAAGTCTATCAAACATACTTTACAACAACAATATATTCAGTAAACTAAAAAGATTATTTTCGAAAGATCCTTTACTCAATCGAAGTAAATCAAAGTAGTGATGGAAAGGATGAACAACTGAAGAAAAAATATGAGTATAATTGAAAGGTAGTGCAGACTGCAGAGTATAAAAGGATGTTGAAATTGGTCAGTCTGTTCTCTATGATGGGTTTTAATTGGGCTACGATTACAAAATGGGCTAATGCGGCCTTTTTGTCTATGGGCTTGTACATATTGTATGTTCTAATTAGACTAGGAAAGAGTTCTAAAAAGTGAGAGATTTTTGAATTTTGCGTTCTAAAATTAAAACTGTTATTAATAAATCTTGTGATCTTAAATATATCATATTATATAAGATAATGTTATTGAGGGTGAAATGAAAATGTTGGACTTACGCTTCAATTTGTTTGTTTATTTTTGCTACTCTTAATTTCTACTTTTCACATAATAGGTTTAACAACACAAAATTAAAAACGTTTCAGTACAACATATCTTTAATGTTAGACTACAAAATTCAAAATAATTCTTTACTTCTTTTAAATTTCGTGTCAAATCAAATCTAATAAAAATTTAATCGAACAAATTAAAATGAAGGATATACTAAATATAGAAAGTGAAAGCATATACAAAAGAAAGCAAGACATATAAATTAAAACTGTATTTATTTATATAGCTCAAAATACTATCTTAGTAAATTACATCTGTAAAAATATAATGCATAGATTGATTTCTTATCGATAAAGAGATTGTCAATTCTAAAATGATGGGTGTTGGCACAGTTGCAAAATGGGCCGTTAAACTGTTGAACGGACAAGAATACGATGGGCAACAGAGAATGACAAGTCATTCTTATTGAAGTAGTGATAAGACAATTCCATTCAACAAAAGAAGAGTGCAACACCACATTAAAAGAAAATCATGTTTCTCCAAGGCATGACATAAATTTATAATAATATTGTAAATCAATAGTATTACGGAGAGGTAATTCTATAGGACATGACATATATCCAGTATATTGAGTCATATGATAACTAATTTAGTCGTCCATCATTATTTGTAGTCAGGAAGTTAGTTTATATTTTTTTTCTTAATCTTAAGCCCTTAGGAATAAATACGTCATTATAGGTGTAAACAAAAAAAAATCCAATTAGATGACGGCTAAAGTTAGTGAAACGCCCTGTATTCTTAAAGGATATCTAGGTTATGAATAAAGGGAGTTTATCCGCTTTGTGAGTTCAGATCTACTCCTTATATAGAAATACTCGCAAGTCTATTGCATTAGTATTTACAATTTTAATATTATGATTAATTGTAATTTCTTAACTATTGAATTGTTTCGATAAACTATTGGTGTGAAATGAGGGTCAAATTGCTTGACTCCATGAAAATTAGGCATGCGGTAATGCCCATACGTATGAGAAGACTATTAAGAAATAAGTGGGCGAAGTGTAGCGGTCCCATTTTCGATTATTTATTGGTCCATCATATCATATCCTCTATTATTTATTTATTTTATTTTATATTGTAAATAATTTGGATTTATTTATATTCACCCCAAAAGACGGAACCCATGTCTACCACATTATTTTTATGGATTCATAATGCTGTTGAATAACGTGGAAATACATGCTCATTTTCTTGGCATTATTTACATAATATAAGGTCCCTATGAAATTTTTTTTTAGTCAAATTGGGTTAGGCTCGTGTCTTCTTTAGACAAAATAATAATGTCAAGAATATTGGTTGAAAGATATGAAAAATAAAAATAATATTTGAAGTTGAAAAACGAATAATATTTGTTAGAGATGTTCGGAATTCTGAAATGCTAATTGATAACTCATTGAATGTTACATTGATTAGAACTTGGATCATTCTCATGAAAAATTCAACTCTTGACCTAAATTATAGAGTTGATTTTAGACTATTTTTTTCACTGGTTCATCATGGCATCAGAGCTAGCTCGTTCATGATTAAATATATTCGATTTTGTCCTTTTATAATATTCTCCATGTTTTAATAAGTCTAGTCGTGAGTATTCCGAGGTTATTGAGTTCCTGGCCTCAAATCTTTTTATATCATCTTTATATAATTCTCACGTATCAAACTTGCTTTTGTAATTGAGTTAATTTACATCCCATATCTATTTCTTATCAAAATAAACATTAGACCCCAAACTAGAATAATTTCTTAATATTTCCCCATCCATTTCAATACATATTTGCATTAATGACCTAAGCTCTTTAACATGCTTTTATGACTTCATAACATGTTCAAGTTGTTAAGTTTTTGAATTCGAGATTAGTAATAAACTAAAGCTGCTCAATCTTTTTGAATAACGAAGTAGGGTCGTAACATAGTGGGATCATTTGGATTGATAGCCAAATATACCAATTGAATTACCTTTTCATAAGGTCACTACAAAATCCTCATGGCATTAGGTCCCAATCTTGCAGATAGACGTACAAATGGGATAGAAGAATGTAGTACTACAATTGTTGTTATTTGAAGACATTATATTAATATGGGTCCAAAAGACACATTAATTATTATTGCAGTCACTAAATTTGAATAGTAAAATGTATTTTATGTTGGAATGTAGAGTACTACTGACATTTATAAAGACTAAAAGTTGTGTAAAATTTTGGACCACAATTTTTTTTTTTTTGTAAAAAAATATATTTTATTTTATTTATTTTTGAAAAGCTCAAATACCAAAATATTACAGAATGAAGAAGCACGCTGGCTTGTTTGATTAATTATTTGGTGGAGGCCTCAGCCTACTATTTCCTAAATTCTCCACACCCTATTAACCTATTTGTTCATATCCTAGTGTGTATTGTATCATTATATTTGGATTTTTTCTCCTAATTGCAATCACTATTTTTCATTTTTTTCTACTAATTTCTCTTTTTTTTTACCTAACTGAAAATTTAAAAAAAACTAAAAACTCAAGTACATACTATTACTAACTAAGTGATTTTGACATAATTAGTTTTGTGTTGTTTTCCAATCTTTAATTTCTATCAATCCTTCACTCACAAAAAAAAATTTAGGCAGTTGGGAGAATTTTGGGGAGATGTAGAAGTTAGCAACCCTTATTGTATAGTTAATTACGCGATCAGTTTCATTTTATATGACACGATTGGTATAAGAGTCGAAACTATTTAACTAAAACATTTAATAATTCAAAATGTCATATATTACAATTGTGATTGAGTAAAGTAATAATGATATTACGTATAGTGTTGGATAGAGAGTAGTATAAGCTCTCATGAAGTCTAATTTTTATTTTCTTTTTTAAAAAACAATAGAAGCAAAATACTACCGAGGTGTTAAAATAACAGGTTAAGCTAAATTCAGGTGATTCAAAATGATTTCACGAGTTAATGAGTGGGTTATTATCGACTCAATCAAGAGTTAATAACTGTTGTAATCTGTCAAAATGACATAATTAATTGCGTTTTACTAAAAGTTATCTGATACTTCATCTGTCCTATTTAGTTGTCCACTTTAAAAGTGACACACATATTAAGACATCAATTATTATCATAGGTTAGTTATAATTTTACCGTTTAACTTAAAAGATTATACAACTCCCCAAGTATAATAAAATTTTCTGATTCCAAAAAGCATGCATTACAACTTAATAGTACTAGAAAATTTCTAGAATTAAATAAGGGCAAATTAAGAAAAAAATTATTATCTTTTCTTGATTTGTTAAAATGAATAAGTAAATAGGGACAGATGGCGTATTTGCTATCGGTGATAAAAAGTGAAAATCAAAGGTTTATCGAGAAAATGATTAATAATGTTAATGTGGAGTGCCTTGAGTTTCAGGTAGGCAAACAAGTAGTTGCATTTTGACTTGAGGAGAAACAAACGATAGCGATAGGACAATACTTCTCCAATCCCCAAAACAACCCTTATCATTCATAAAATCTTTACTAATTTTTTCACATTGCCAGATCACGAGCTGTGATAACCCAGAGGGTAAAAATGGAATCAGAGTAAATTTCTCAAATATCTGTATTAATGCTCGATTAAATTTTGAATAAATCTTTTATTTTTATTTTCAAAGAAAAGTGAAAGTATCTTAACCATCCCACTAGCCACTACAACTTATGTTGGTAAGATAATATAAACATTCGGGAAGTATTTCTATTGTACCAAGACGGAAAATTTATTAACTGCAATTTATTATATATCGAAATAACAATATAGTAAAGCTGTATATTTGTAGCTCCTTACGAGATATGTCAAGTCAATATCAAAAGTAAAAATGGACGGAATAAATATAAGCTAAAAGAAAGAAGTCAGATAGATAATTCCTCAAAGCTCAATATTGTAGCAGTTGATAAGTTTTTTCTCTTTGTTGAATTACTCAAAAATCTGGTTTTGCCTAAAATTTTATTATATCCTAAATTGTATAAGAAGTTCAAAGATGCACATTCCAAGTTGGAGTTTAGTTATTACGTTCCCAATTATAATTTATCA